AAGATCGTTGCAAATGCGTGAGTTTTGTCTCTTGATCTGATGTGCTGGTCTTCTCCATCTTGAAGGATGAGCATTTTAATTGTCTGCCGCTGTTCACGGCTGGAAATGACAATTCTATGGACGTTAGATCTGAGCCATTGATTGTGAGATTGAATAGTCTGTCTATAAAATGCTGCTTCTGTTTGTAATACAAGCAATCTTGTATTGTAGCTTCACCAGGTTGCCACCTTATTTTTAGGTATGTCTGGTACTGTTTTTGGTATGCCCTTATGGATTTAAATTTAAACAGCATTAATCCTCAGATAGAAACACTAAAGTTGAGGATATACCAGCCATGCATTTACAGATTGTTGAATACAGTTCTTGTCCCATAGAGCCGCACAAATGCCTAGTTTTGGTTTGCTACATCTATTGAAATCCATCCCATTTAGCGCAGCGATAGTGCCATACAATATCTTGGGGAGGTATCCTCCATGTGGAGAGGGAAATTTCTTTCCAGAAGGACTGTTTAGTGCTCATTGCTATCAAAACTGTCATGGACAGAAGAACCCACAGCAGTTAGGTTTTGGGGATGAGGTCTAGTAGGTTTTTCTGTCTTGTTGGTTCCCTCACCCGTGTGCTGCAGAACAAATCTAGTAAGTATGTCTTTAAGAAGCCCAGTCAGTAACGATGCTACTGAGCCGCTCTGGGTGATGGACATTGAAGACATTCACTCATGCTCAAGCTTCATCTGAGTGGTTTTCATTATGGAGGAGTACAGATTCATCAGTTGCAGAGGAGCCTTGGAAGTAGTTAGCAGATGGATAGCAATTAGGAGTCTTTGCCCATGTTTGACATGACATTAACCTTCATGGGTCCAGAATCAGTTTTGAAGACTGAGGGCAGTTCTCCCCAGCTGATACTAATATGCTGCCACTTTGGTGGATCTGTTATATCTGTGGGACAGCAAATAGCTAAGGGTGAATGTTAGTGTCCGTGACATTGTTTGCTAGGAATGATTCTGAGTATCAATATGGACTACTGGTGCAAGTAACCCCAGTTCCTTATTTGTAAACAGTTGCACATCTTGCCTTTGCTTCCTTACTGAGCAGCATATTGTTGTCTTGGCAACAATGCTGAAATATAACTCGGCACAAAAGTAACATTCCAAATTTACTATTTAATCTGAGAATCCAATATTCCATACAAAAGTTAACCAGTCACCCTTGTGCATATTCATAGTTCCTGTCTTATGTATGGTTTAGTTTTGCCGAGTGCTTCCCATGTTGTGCAACATGACTAATGAAGGATAAATGCTGCTTTATGTTGCCATGAAGTTTATGGCTCAGGGATCCATTCTGTAGGTTGGAGAGATGGTTTTTCTTGTCTTTTGTATTTTGTGGCTTGTAATGGTTTCCCCTTATCCATGAGTGACTACCATCTGATTGTAGTAGGTTTTTGCAAATTCTCTTGTTTATACTGTTTGTATATAATACTGTCTCTAAAAGTTCATTTTATTAGTAAAGACTAGTCTATCCTTTCTTCAGTTTCTTGAACATGTTTGCTGATGTCTGTCGCGTCATGATGGACAATGCAATCTTCCGTACAGTACAGACACCTTTTGGGTTAATCCAGCTTCCAGCACATTTTTTTCAAATTAGCATACAAGATCACAGAAATGCTATTTATTGGATATAATTTGCACATGAAATTCCTTCATGTTTTGCATTGTTTGGCCAAATTATGCTGGCAAAACTCAGCACACGTAGCAGAAATGCCAAGTCATAGATGCATACAGCATGGAAAATCTCTCTCACCTTAAAAATGTACCCCCTGTTCTTGAAATTCCCCATCCTAGGGAAAAGGCAACTGCCACTATCTCTATCTATACCACATTATTTTATAAACTTCTTTCAGGTCGCCCCTGAACCTCCTATGCTCCAGTGAAAAAAGCCCTAGTCTATCCAGCCTTTTCTTTTTATAACTCGAGCCTTCCATACCCGGCAACATCCTGGTAGATCTCTACTGAACCCTTTCCAGCTTGATAATATCATTCCTATAACTTGGTGACCAGAACTGGACATAGTATTCCGAAAGAGACTTCACCAAAGTCCTGTATAACCTCAACATGACTTCCTAACTCCAAAACTCAAAGGACCAAGCAATCAAGGCAAGTGTCTCAAACACCTTTTTAACCATCCTGTCATTTGAAAAATGCAAGTGCAATATTTAGTTGTGTGTTTGCATTTGTTTTTACGATAGGAAATCTATTCTGCAAAGTAATTATTTTCAATTACTTTGTCGCAGAAAGCTATTTTTTATTTTTATCATGTGAGCCTTAGCAGCATGTAATTGTGATGCTATGCAGCTATTGACATCAATGGTGGAAAATGATAACTGATTTAGAACATGTGAAGTAGTCTAGGAAAGTGGTTGTGAGCTAAAACGCGATGAACTGTTTTTGATTAAATGTTTTTGGTTAATAATGCTTCCCAAATTGTACATAGAAAGCAAACCTTGCAGTTTTATGATGCTTTTTCAAGTATCTCATACATGTAAAAATTATGTTTAGTGCCTTAAATTTTTATGTAGGCAGTTGAATTCAAGAAGCTAATTCAGACTTCTTACTACCAGAACACATTTAAAAGTATTTGAGTCATTAAGTCTAACCAAGTCTGATTTTAGTCATTATGTAAAGATGTGGCCACAACAATGGAGAATGCATGAACTAAGGAAAAAATACTGCAAACACAAGTCTAATGCACTAACATTCTGCCCAAATAAGCATTTTTTTATTTGTAGTTTTATGTATAGGTATATGATGAATTGTTCAAAGCCAGTCTAGAAATATGTACCTATCCAAGAAATAAATGGTTGTATTGTGCAGTTTTTGTTAGTAATCCATTCAGCTACTTGACCATTGCTTGGGGCTGAGCTAGCTCATTTGCAATCATGCCGCTTTTCTTGACTGTACTGACTCCCTATCACAACACCAGGTTGCCAACTTCTAACTCTTACCAATACTCGTCTATGCTGTTGCCTCCACTTGTTTGATTTTTGAAAATTTTATCCATGCCTCTGTTACCTTTGGACCTTGATCTTCCATAAACCAAAAACTGCTACCAAGTCCTACTGAACCATTATGCCTGTGTTCACTGAACTACATTGATTTCTGGTACAGCATTGTTTCAATTTTAAAATATTCATGCATGCTTTCAGATTCTTCCGTGAACTTGCCCATTTTATCTAGGTAACTTCCTTCAGCACTGCAAGCATCCAAATTATCTGTTCTCCTTCAATTCTGGTTTATTACACATACCCAGATTTTTTAATTCAACATTGATGGCTGTGCCTTCAGCTACCAATGCCCTATGCTGTGAAATTCCATCTCTAATTCTCTTCACCTCTTTACTTCTCTTTCTTCCTATATGTCATTGCTTCAAACCTACCTCTTTTGTCAAGCTTTGTCCTAAAAGCACTTTACATGGCCCAAAATAAAGTACTGTTTCATATTGCTCTTGCAATGTGTTTTGGGATGTTTTACTATGTTAAAAGTATAATTTAAATGCAAATTGCTGTTTTTGGTATTCATACATGTTTATAAGTAACTCGTCTGGCAGTATTTTGATGAAAATTATGACTAGAGTTTAGTGATAGCAGCAGGAATCCCATCAATGGGTCTAAGTTTGGGGGATGAGAAGGTGACCCAGTTTCAATAGTCATCATGGCGTGGCTGCATCTTAATTGGCTACTACCAAGATAACTGTTCCTATTAAGAACAACTGCCCAGCCTCAAGAGACATGGACTTTTGATGTGTACCCTCACAACAAGGTAAATAAGGTGGGGAGAGAGGACATAGTGTAGGATTGATGAGGGAAGGTGAAGCCATTACCATGGAACAAAAACAAAGTTGCTGGAAAAGCTCAGCAGGTCTGGCAGCATCTGTGAAGGGAAAAACAGTTAATGTTTCGGGTCCGGTGAGCATCCGCAGTTCTTTCGGTTTCCATTACCACGGAAGGTAGGCATTGCTTTGATGCCAGTCCACTCCACCCCTTGTCTCACCCCAGAGATTCCCAGGATTTACCTAGCAGTAATGTTCAGATAGCAGAGCCTGTCCCATCTCCCAGCTCTAGCTAAATGCTGATGGAAGTGGGTGGAAAGCCGTCAATTACTATTTAAGTGGCTCAGTTGGCCTGTAGGTGAGAGAGACGCCTGCTGCTGACAAGATGCAATTGTGATGAGATGATGACAGGAACATCATTATTTTGCACATTCCCTGAATTCCAAAATATCAAAGAGACAAGATAAATTCCAGCAGTTTGAGAGAGTCATGAGTCATTTAGTGATCCAGGCAAAAGACAGAATTGTAAAAGGCGAAGTCATATCTATCTTCTGACCATATCAACCATATCAGCTGAAATTATAGATACATTTTCAGCATATTGTTACATGTAAGACTTTGCCATCTTGGCAGCCCCAAAAAAATTGCATCATATATTTTTTCATCATAGCATATTGTATTCTCATCAGTAGTTGGCTTCCATTTTACTCCCCACAAATGGATATTTTATAACTGGGTATAAAATATCCAAGAAGTGCTGCAGACTTTTTGTGAAGTGTTCAAAGGTTAAGACACATTCACATTTCTGTCAGAAGAAGGTGACATTTCAAAACGTTGACCACCCAGACTGAGTTTTACTTTTAGACACTTTCTAATTAACCTGTTCAGGGAAGTTAGTATATACCTCTGAAACAGGTGGAACTTGAACCTGGAACTTCTGCTGCAAAGGAGGGACACTATCAGTGTGCCACACGAGCCTGAGTTTTGCTTTTATACTTGGCAAATATGTCCATCCCTATCTTGAAGGGATTTTTCAAAGATTAATCCTATATGTCAATCTTGTAACATTAATAGTAGATGTTACCTAATCATCCACAAGATCAATAAAAACCATAAAAGTCGTCTTTTTTCCATATGTTGCATGGCAACATTTGTGATTTATTTTTTAAACCTTTGCAGTAATCTTGAGGGGTTTGGCCTGGAAGCAGAAGCAAGAATGACAACATGGCACATCATGATACCTTCTGATCTTGAACCAGATGGAAACCATAGCCAAGATATCAGTGAAGGTAAAATGTCACTCTATTATTCAATTACCTCTCCACAATCAGTAATTTTTGCAAGTTATCTTTTAATGAAATTATGTATTTTTTTGAAGGCCTAGCTCTCTGTAATTGAGAGATTGAGACCCACACTCAGCCAGGTAAATCTTAAATATTTGACATCATGGAACAAAAAGGGATTCTTGAATTCAAGTATATCGTCAAGAGACAGAATTGTTTGCAAAGAATAATTAATACCAATACATAGGTAGTGGAACCATTGCTGATCCTGATATGATCTTTGTTGCATTAAATTCAACTTTTGCTGTATTTATGGAAGATTACCTTTTCTTTGAATTATACAAATTTCTAAGCAGACAAGAGCCATGTAATCTCTTAGCTTTCCCAACCCTCCTGGAGATGTCAGGAATTTTTCGGGATCAGGGTTACCTCCTGTGTTGCGCCTTAAACAGTCACTTTCCTCTGCAGTGCACACACACTCTAATATCATTGCCTGCTGTTAAAGTCTCAGACTTGGTGACATGACCTGACCATCCAACACACAAGCCCGTGGCAGGAAGTCGGGAGGATGGAGAATCCAGAATCTGCATTGGTAGAGTCTCTGAGCTTGCAAGCGTTCTGGAAGAGGGGATGGAAGTAATGCTCAGAAGTTAGAGGGAGTTTTCAATACTGGAGCAACTCCAAAGGCTCCAGTTGGCATGGGGAAGAAAGAGGCTGGAAGATCAAGCAAACCCTGAAGAATGATGAGAAGTGGAAGATATAGATTCCCCAGTGAACGTCTAGGAGGGAGATGGAGAATGCTGAATCAGTGGGAACAAAAGAGAACAGGGTATTCAGGGCATGTATAACTTAGAAATTCAGGCCAACTTTGAGATTTTCGCATTGGATTTGTCATCTTCACACAGAACCAAAATTCAAAACAGAGGCCTGGAGAGAAACCGAAATCAGTCCTGTAAGTGATATCGACAGGAGAGACTGACTATGTTGTTTAGCATGATTCGAGCTGCAGCTTCATTGTGAATATTAATTATACTTGCGTAAAACTAGGTTTTATTGTCATACATGCTCAAGTACAGTGATAAAGGAGTACAATGAAAAGTTTACAATGTCAGTATTCATAGCACCATCTTAGGTACAAGATACCTAGGTATAAAATCTGAGGTAAATAGTAGAAAAATAAAGAAATAAGTTAAAAGTTCAACATTATAGTTCGTGTCAGTGTAAAGTATTAAATAAGAAAGTTCAAAGCTCCAAATTACTATCTTTCTGTAGCCATGGGCCTGCAGTTGCTCCACACTGGGCTTTACCCACAAGGGTTCGATCCCTGCCCCATGCTGGGCTTGATCACTTGATCCCTATGCCTCAGCGCTGCTGTCTCACCACCCGCTGCCATTCGGATTCAACAGTCACCTCGCCACAGGCTGCCAGCACTCTGGTGCTGCTCCAGGCCCCCGACTGCTGCCTGCTGCAAGAGTTCTCTCCGGCCACACCAACTGCCTCATGGCTGACTACCAAAGACCCTGCCCTGGACCGTTAGCTGCTGCTATCACCACTGCTGCCTCCATGACCAAGCTCCCTCCAGAACGTAAGTAGAGAAAAAAATACTAAAAAATGAAAGAAAGAAGTGATAAAAGAAGAAAGAAAAAGTGGTCCGAGCAGATGAGGTCCACCTCAGGAGCTCTACTCCACTGTCATTTTGGATCTGTTCACTGTATTAGTGTTGGTCATGAAATGAGTGTTGTTATTAACATTTCACTGAGTTGTGAGTGCAACTTAAGTGAATTGCCATTAATTACTAGGGGAATCAGGTTTTTTTTGCCTCTGATTCCTTTCAGTGAATCACTCCACCCCTGCTTCTGCTCCCCTCACCCCCCCAAAAAAAAGTGCATTCCTTAGTTTCTCCTCTTGTGCTGCCCTTTTACCCTGCCCATATTTCTTTTCCCTGACCCAACTATCGTCCCAGCAGATAGTCTCTAATAGTTCCTGCTTTCTCGTAATTTACTAAACTTAAAGCTGGGGTATAAAGTAGACAGTTATCCCTTCATGGTAAATACAAGATGGAATCCTCTTGTTGCTATTGATTGTTACCCTTTGGGCAAAAAAAGGGTGAAGTGGGAAATCTCTGGATTAGATATGGAATTTAGTACTCCTCCACTTCCAAATCAGGAACCATTCACATTTCTGAATTTCTCTCCTGTTTTTGCCTCCTCCACTTGTATTATTGGAATGTTTATTAAGTATCATCATTTGAGTAAAACAAATTCTATTATACCTGTTTTAAGTCAAGTCTTCACTCATTGAAGTCGATGTCTTCTTCAACTTTGTTGCAATCCACGTGAGGGGAATGAATAGGCACAGGGACAGGCAATCTCAAGAAAATTAATGAATTGCTTTTTTATTTTCAGCAGGCAAATTTGTACCTCGGCCAATCTTGTTTTATGTATGTCAGAGAATCTTATAAAATGTAATTGTTTAACTTCTTCTTTAAACGTGAAATTTCACTCTTAGGTCGACAACTTCTTCTCAAAGCTGTAAATCGGGTTTGGACTGAACTAATTGTCAACAAGAAACCAACTTTGGAGGAGATTTTTAAAGTAACACTACCTATAAACGAGCGTGGACTAGTGGATTTGTCAACTGCAAGGCCACTCATTGAGGATGCTGCTTCAAAATGCTGGCAGAATCATATAGGTAGGAACTACTGTACAGTTTTAATTATAACTTATTACAGGAAGTCTGTGAACTGTCAGAATATTTAAAAATGTTATTAAAGTTAGAGGGAGAACTATTCAAAATGGTGAGAACAAATGACATTGCTATCAATATATCATGACTAAACTGTTCCTGTTGTCTGAATTATATCGTAGCTGGGTGAAGGGATTAAAAAGTGGGCTACTATATTGGGGATAGTGACCACAACTTGGTTAGATTATTTATTGTAATGGAAAAGAACAGAGATAATTCGGAAATAAAAGTTTTTAACTGGAGGAAGGCAAATTTTACAAAACTGAAGTGATTTGGCTGAGGTACAATGGAAAAGACTGCAGAAGGACAAATCAGTAGTCAACCAATGGGAGGCACTAATAAACGAGATCCTTAGGGCACAAAGCAGGCATTTCCAAAAATAAGAATCGTACTACCAAATCTAAACCTCCGTGGTTGTCTAGAAAAATACAGACGAAAATTAAACAGAAAGCTTATGATAGTCACAAAAATCTCAACACTGCAGATAGCCTAGAGGAGTGTAGAAAGTACAGGGATCAAGTGCAAAAAAAAATCAAAAAGGGCAGGCAAAAAGATTAACAAACAAGATAAAGGAAAACCCAAAGATAATTTGCCAGTATGTAAAGAGCAAAGGATAGTTAAGAAAAAAGTGAGACCTATCGGAAATGATGAAGGGAACTTTTGTGAAGATGCAGAGATATGGGAAGAATTTTAAATAAGTTTTTTGTCTCTGTATTCAGAATTGAAAGGGATGATGTGGAAATGGTAATCCAAGAGGAGCAGTGTGAAATATTGAACAAAATAAACAATTAAACAATATTAAACAAAAGGCGGCCTCTGGAATGCTGTCCTTCTTTGGCAGAGGAACAGAGTACGAAAGCAGGGATATAATGATGAAACTGTATAAGACACTGATGAAGCCACAACTGGAGTATTGTGTACAGTTATGATTACCATTGTCACAGGAAGGATGTAATTGCTCTGGTCAGAGTGCAGAGAAGATTCACTAGAATGTTGCCAGGGGTGGAGAATTGTAGTTCTGAGGAGAGATTGGAGAGGTTGGCGTTGGTTTCCCTGGAACAAAAAAGGCCAAGGGATTACAAAGCTGAGGTATATAGAATTGTGAGGGATAGAGGTAGTTTAACAGGAGGAACCTGATTCCCTTGGCAGAGAGTTCAAAAATCATGGGACATCGTTTTAAGCTAAGTAGCAGAGAGATTAGAAGGAATGTGTAGAATGTGGGTGTCTGGAATTTGCTGCCTGAGTTGGCCGTGGAGGCATAGACATAGAGGCATGGATCCTAAACTCTTTAGAAAAGTACCCGGATCTGCCTCTTAAGTGCTGCAAGCTGCAGGGATGTGGGGTATGTGCAGGAATATGCAGTTAGAAAAGCACCAACGTGTCTTTAAGTTCTTTGGCAATTTCAAAAACAACTGGTATCTTTCTAACATGTTGGTCAGAAAACAGTCAGTCAGAATTCATTAGACTATATTTAAATATTGCCAATGATTCTTCACAACTACTTATGTTTCTATTGGCAAAAATATAAGAACAAAGAATTTCTGCTCAACCTTTGTAAAGCATTGCTAAATATTTATAAGTTCCTGTTTAGATCTCAGCTGATTTGAGTTCATTTCTGAGATTTACCAGAATTACACCAAAGATACAGCTTTCTAGCTTTTTGAAGACTGAAGAAGAGCTGAGATTGTTCTTCGAGCAGAGATTAAAGAGAGATTTAATAGATTTTAATAAAGTATTATAACTTTTTGATTGAAAACTAAGTCATCTTTGGTTGCACACAGATTTGAGACAATAGGCAACAAAAAACAAGATAGGAAGTGAGAAATTGTTTTACACAGTGAGTTGCAATGATCAAAAATGCTCTACCTGAAAGGGTAATGGTGGCAGATTCAGTCATATCTTTCAAAAGGAAATCGTACTAAAATGAAATATTTTTTACCGCTGTGGGAAAATATAATGAGGGGGACAAATTTAATAACTCTTTCACAGTGCTGTTGGCACAATACACCAAATTTCTTTCCTTCTGTGCAGTAGAATTCAATATATTGTGCGGAGCTATAAAACCATACTTTAGTATCTTAACTGGGAAGAGTGGTACAGCAAGATTTCAGGGAAACAAAAAATAAAGTCGTCAGTAACGTTATAGAGAATTTGCTTTGAATCTTGTTCAGTCTATCAAGATAAAAATCTCTTCTGGTTACAACGGTTCTACGTAACAGAAGTTCTAGTTCTTAAATTTCTGCTAGAGACCTTAAACAAAATCTACTTGAGTAGTTGGCAGTTAATTCAAAACCAAAGATGCTGTAAGAATGGGCGGCTGTAGTTAAGATGATTCAGTTCTCAAAATTGACATGCTTCATTCCCCAGTATTTGGAATCTTTTGAGATTTTTCACTTGATCCACACGTTTCTGTTGGGGGATGCAATATTCAGTATCGCACTTTTTAACACATTAACTGACTAAAGTTTGCTCTTTCATCTGCCAATAGTAAGCTTTTTATTTTCAAATTAAAATAAAATAACAGTAACATTGTTATTAGGTAACTTGTCATAATTTTGTCTTGAAAGTGGGAAGCCTAATTTGATGAACATGATGATTAAGAAACATAGAGATATTTTGAGCATTTGTAAAATTTTCTACTATTTGCTGGTATTTCCCATAAAGTTTAAACAAAAGTGCTGAAAGGGCAATGGGTTGATGATTAGCATTAATATATTTGTGACTCTCATACGATAAAACGGAAATTAATTGTTTTTTTACATGAAATTATATCACGCATCCTACTCTTCAGAGAATTATGCGAATTATGTGCACAGCGCAGTTCAATAAAATTGTAGTTCATAAATTGAGAAATGTCTGTTTGGGAAATAAATTACAACAAATTGTTTTTTTAATTGCACCATAATATTTTCAAAAACTAGCATTTTGATAGGAGTAAACTTTTATTTAACTGCTGTCACTCTTTATGTATATTACTGAGAATGCACTTGACTACAGCTTTGGATAAATGATTATTTGTAACTTAGTGCAAAGTAAAATTCTTAAGTTTTTTTTCTATCCACTGTTCAAGACAACTTAACCTGTGTGATAGAATGAGTTTAAAATATGAAAAGTAAGAGTAAAAAAGCAGAAAATATGGAAGATGAGAGAAATATGAACAATTGGAATCAAAAAGAAACCGCTTGTGGAGCACCTACGCTTGGTTCATGACAAACGACAACACCTCCCAGTCACGAACCACTTCAACTCCCCCTCTCACTCCTTGGACAACATGTCCATCCTGGGCCTCCTCCATTGCCACAACGATGCCACCCAAAGGCTGGAGGAAACAGCACTTCATATTCCGCCTGAGACCCCTGCAGCCCAATGGCCTCAATGTGGACTTTACAAGCTTCAAAATCTCCCCACCCCTGACCTCATCCCAAGACCAGCCCATCTCATCCCCGCCTCCTTGACCTGTCCATCTTTTCTCCCACCTATCCGCTCCTCCCACCTCACTGACCAACCCCCATCCCAACTCCCTACCTGCAGTCACATTTACTAGCTTCATCCCCGCCTCCTTGATCTGTCCGTCTTCTCTCCACCTATCTGCTCCTCCTATCCACCTTCTATCATCGCCTCCCCCTCTCTCTATTTATTTCAGAGCCCCCTTCCCCTTCCTCACTTCTGAAGAAGGGTCCAGACCCGAAATGTCAGCTTTCCTGCTCCTCTGATGCTGCCTGGCCTGCTGTGTTTATCCAGTTCTACACCTTGTTATCTCAGACTCCAGCATCGGCAGTTCCTACTATGTCCCAATGAATTTGTGCTCTGTTGACCATGTGCAATTAGCATGATTTCTTTTAGCACTCGTGGAATAGTAACACAGGTTGAGAGGTATTGGAAATGCTTGTAGAAGCCAAAATGGCAATCATGTGTTGTCATGAAGATAGCAGAGGGAGTTAATACAAGATTCAAAAGGGAGAGAACAATCAGGATTGGGACAGAAACTGTGAAGTGACCAAGCATGGAACTAGAATTAGCAATTGAGTAGGGGCAACTAGGCAAATGGAAAACTGATGTATAATGCACAGAAATTCTGCAACACAGTTCCATCACTTTTCCTGAAAAATTATGAATCTAGAATCTCTCAAGGTCCTTCATACAAAGTTATCTGACAGTCACCCAAGATCAGACTAGATAGGAAAGGCCAGACTCCCATTTCCTTAAATTCACTGTTTGTTGGGTAATTGTGGATCCTACTAAAATTGAAAAGGCACATAAGAGAGAGTTTATTGGTAACATGAAAAGATGAAGTTGAGGGATCAGAAAGAGTGCACCAATTTCCAAGCACTTTATCTACCCGACCCTATAGGCACACGCTGCCCCTTATTACAGGCATTGGACTTAGAAGCCATCTTGGAAAATGTTTAACCAGAGTGGAAACGAGTCATTCTCGATCCTGAGGGACTGAGGCATTTTTAATGGTCCAACTAAATGAAAGGGAACTGAATTGCAACACTGAAGTTCTCCCTCTGGTGAAGTATGTTCATGTGAAGTTTATGCTCCATAATTGATTGTAATCTAATGTAGGGGCAAGTTGTTGACACAGAGGCTGGTGCATGTATGGAATGAGCCACCAGAGAAGGTGATGGAGGCTGGTACGATTACAATATTTAAAGGCATCTGGATGGATATATGAATAGGAAGGGTCTAGAGAGATATGGGCCACATGCTGGCAAATAGAACTAGATTAATTTAGGATATCTGGTCAGCATGGACGAGTTGGACCAAAGGGTCTGTTTCCATGCTGTACATCTCTATGACTCTACCTTGTGCACTTTTTCCTCAATTACCTACCCAACCTGTCCTTCAATATTGTCATGGTCTCTGCTTGATTCAGTGAACTAGATATTATGCTTCTGAGCTAACAGGCTTGAAGACAGGGGCATACAAAATCCAAAGAATGA